GCTGTCTCACAGCGCCAGGGAGCTGGGTTTAATTCCAGACTTGGGCGACTGTCTGTGTGGAGTTTGCATATTCTCCCCATGTCTGCATGGATTTCCTCTGGGTGCTTCAGTTTCCTCCCATAGTCCAAAGATGTGCGGGTTAGGTGAATTGGCCATGCTAAATTACCCATAGTGTCCTGAGGTGTCCAGGTTAGGTGGATTAGCCATGGGAAATGCAGGATTACAGGGATAGGATAGGGGGTGAGTCTGGATAAGTTGCTCTTTGGGCAGTCAGTGTGGACTTGTTGGGCCAACTGGCCTGTTTCCACACTGTAGGGATTCTATTCATAGACAGTTGGGATAAGGGGTCATTTTCAAGTTCAAAACCTGTGATTCGTAGATTAGTGCTGGGGCCACAATTATTTGCGATAATTCCTTGGATGAAGAAAGTGAATGCACTCAAGTCAAATTTGCAGAGGACACAAAATAGGTGGGATGGCAAGTGGTGAGGATGACATAAAGGGTCTGCAGAGGGATAAGGATAGGTTTAGCAAGGAGGAACAAGCTAGTCAGATGAATATAAGGGAAAACTAGAGAACGTGTAAATAGTTTAAATAGAGAAAGACTGCAGAAAGCTCCAGAACAGAGGGATTTCAGAGTCCTCATCCATGAATCGAAAAAAACTAGCCTCGAAATTCAGCGGAAAGTAAGGAAAGCAAATGGAATGTTGGCCTGTTTTACAAAGGGAACGGATTATAAAAGTAGGGAAGTTTTGCTAAAACCATGCAAAGCACTAGTCAAACCAGAGCTGGCATACTGTGAACAGTTTTGGGCACCTTATCTAAGGAAAGAAATACTGGCATGTAGACAGTCCAGATTGCACATTTGGCATCCACGAGGCATTGTGGACAATCAGCAACAGCAGAATTGTAATCCAAAATAACGTGCATCCTCTTGGCCTGATATATTCCCAACTTTACTAATACCATTAAGCAAGGGAACCAATTTGTTTCAATGAAGAATACAGGAGGGTATGCCAGAAGCAGAAACAGGCACACATAAAAATGACCTAACACCTGTATGCCAAACATCATATGTAGCAAGTGATAGATAGATCTAAACGATTCCACAACCAATGGATCAGATCTAAGTTCTGCAGTCCTGCCACACTGCTCAGGAATAGTTGTGGACAACTAAACAACACAAGTATTGCTAAACTCAATGATGGGTCAGCCTAGCACATCAGTGCAAAAGATAAAGCATTTGCAATAATCTTCAACTCGAAGTTCTGACTCGATGATCTATCTTTATCTGCTCCAGAGCACACTGGCATTTGACTAGCCACTAGCCAATTGCCAACTAGCACAATAGCCAATTGACTGGCTTCAGTCAATTCAATTCACTCCACTTGGAATCAAGAAACCGCTGGAAGCACTGGATACTAGAAAGACTTTGTGCCCTGACAATAGTCTGGCAAAAACATTAGGTGGAGTAGGCACTGAATATGCACGGTTACAGGGATACGGTAGGGGGTAGGTCTGGGTGGGATGCTCTTCGGAGGGAACTCAGTGGGCCAAATAGCCTATTTCTGCACTGTAGGGATTCTATGATTCTATGAATTGTGTAGCAGTTAAAATCAGGAATGCACAAAATGAGTGCTTAGCGGTGCTGGAGGAGAAAGGGAAGAGGCTGTGGAGGAATTTGAAAATGAGGTGATGGGGTACAGTATAAGTTAAGATACAGGCATTGGATAGTCCCATGTCTGGAGAGAGGAAAATGTGGGAGGCCAACTGAAAGTACGTTGGAATAGACAAATCTCAAGGCAACAAGAAAAACAAGCTGAGACAGGCTTGAAGTCAGATGATGCTACAGAGGTTCTTAAAGATAATACGAACGCAAGGCTAGAAGCTCATCTTGGGGGTCAAACATGGTCCTAAGTTTGCAAATAGACTGACTTAGCCTCAGACTTTTGCCAGGAACAGAGTTGGACTTAGAACTTCGGAAATGGAGCTTTAATTGGGGACTGAAAACAATGGTTCCAGTCTTCCCAATATTTAATAGAGAAAATTTCTGCTCATTCAGTTTTGGATGTCAGATAAGCAGTCAGATAATTGAGCAACATTGGCGGAGGTAAAGGTGATGGTGATAAGACAGCATTGGGTGCCATCAGTGCATTTGTGAAAACTAAGGCTTCTTAGATGTTGTTGCCAAGGGGCAGCTTGTAGATGAGAAACAGCAGGGGATGAAGAATACATCATTGAGGCCACACAAAATAATTATGTGGTAACAGGAAGGAGAAAAGATTGCAAACAAAATTCTGGCTGTAATGAGATAAATAAGCATGGAAGCAAGTGAGAACTGTTCCTCCTAGCTGAACAATAATGCAGAGCTATTGGAGATGATGGTGTGATCAATAATCTTGAAAGCTACAAAACAAGAAGCCAAGCAGGCTTTTTTAATTTAACAATTAGGAAGGGCTTGATGAAGTAATTAGGGATGAACAATTTCCTTTTATTGAGGAGTGTAATCAATCTAAAATTGTAAGTAAGAAAGGGAGAAGAATGCTTCGAGAAATTCTCTTTACACTGCTGGTTGTTGGAAAGTGTGGTTTTACAAGAACAAATATTTATGTCAGAGACCATCATATCTTTTTAATAAAAAAACAATAAATATTTGAAGTGGATACGAATGCAGAGAAATTTGGAAAAACCGGTCTAATGAGATTAGTTCTGGATTGCACCAAAAAATTCAAAAATGACAAACTTCTGACATTCCATACTGCAAACTGTTTTCATAACATTTCATAATAAGGACAGTCAATGTTGGAAATACTCAGCAGGTCATTTGTGAGGAAAAACAGTCTTAACATTTCAAATTTGTTACCTTTCATTAGAGTCGAGGAAAGTGAACAATGTAATAGTTTTTCATCAATTGAAAGGTGGGATGGGTGAGAAGAACAACAAAACAGAAGGTTTGGCAGAGGTTAGAGGGCAGGAGAGATTTAAATGACAAAAAGCTATATTATACAAAAGCCAAAGGAAGTGGAATACTAGGTAAAATAGAGGAACAAAAAAAGTGTATTGATGAGACATGAATGGCTGAATAACATCCTGCAGAATGCAAAGTAAAGGAATAAAGAAATAGGAGAGAAAAAAACTGCAAAATGGAGATAGACATAATGATTCAAAATTGCTCAACTCAATATTGAGTGCAGAAGGCAGAGTGAAAAATGCAATGCTGTCCTCAAGCTTATGCTGAGCTTCTGTAGAATACTGTGGCAGGTCAAGGACTGAAACATCAGAGTTGGTACAGAGTGGAGAATTTAAGTGTTAAAAGGCAGGAAGCTAAGGATCATGCTTGCACACTGAATGGAGGATTTTTGCAGATGGTTTGATCAGAGTTTGATCTCTCCAAAATAAGGTAGACCACCAACAAGTAGTGCCTACAGCATGCTAATTGAAAGGGTTATAAGTATATTGTTGTTTCACTCTGAAGAAGCATTTTGGGCCTTGCATGGCGACAAGGGAGGTAGAAAAAGGCCATGTTGCATCAAAAGTTGCAGTAGAAAATAAACCAAACATGCCGGAAAAATTTCAGCAGGTTATGTAGCATTGGTGAAAAGAAATTATATTTAATGTGTAAGGTATGGAATCATTCATTGGAACTGAGGGAAGTTAGAAATATGACAAGTGATGTCTGGCTGGGTGGGAGGTGAACAGTGAATAAAAGAGAAGCTCTGTAATAGGGTGGATAACCTTTACAAGTTTTGAGACATGGTATTATGCCTGTGTTTTAACCTTATAGATGCTGATCAATCTGCTTGTGTTTCCACTGTCTGCTTTATTAGACCCTAGGCATGAATTTCAAGTACTATAAATTCTGCACATCAAGATTTCAAAGGGTAGTAGCTTCTTAGCACAATGTGTGAGTGCACCAGACTATCATGGCTTTCCAAAGAGTGATAATCAGTGTTAAACCACCTGTACTTATCTTTTTTTTTACCAATTAAATTCACATTAGATTTTAGGACAAATGTTCAATGTGCACAATTTCATCAACACCCTGCTCAAGAAAAAGACACTCAATTCTTTCTTCCACATTAATTATAGACAGTAACACTCCACAGTTTAAGTATTGTATCAATCAGATGCAAAAGTCATTAAAATTGGATTTGAGCAAAGGGTGTGAAACCACCAAAGCATAACTGTAAATACTAAAATCATTAAATTTTCAAAATTAACATGTGGTCCAAATTTAGTCCTAAATCTTTTTTATATTTGAGGATATTTGTCTGTCTCATTCATTAATGACCTGATTCATGTACTAATAACAAGAGATCACCATAATGGGATCTCTAATCCAGGCAGCAAATCACTATATGTATGTATGAAAGGCTGCACAGAAGCATTGCTCTCTTCATTTAAATTCTTGTTGGTAAAACTATTTTTGCTGCATCCTTTTTAGCAGCACACGGTCACAGTGTCATTTTTGCCTTGTTGGTCTACATGATGGCACTTCACATATCTGTTTATACTGATGCATTTGTTAATTAATCTAATTTATATGCAGCTATGATTCCAGGGGGCTGCAAAACAAAGATCAGAAGTGATAGACTTATACATTTGTACCTTAGGAATTCCATTCAAACCAGCCTTCTGTACTTTGCCTGTATACATGAAATTCTAGAAAGATGCCACAACAACGATACTCACATTCCTGCAGCCAGACCGGGCAAAGCAATTCCAAAATATAGGCGGTTCTATCATAGGTTGGGAAGCTTATAGCTGCACTGAATTTTATGCACTAGAATCCTTTCAGATAAATGTGAGTCACATCATATGGCATACATGAGCAGTGTTTATTATCAATGTGGCTATGAAATTTATAATAGAAAACTATTAACATGACGTGTTGGAAAAGCTTGATAAATATGAAGCAATGTATTATATACAGTAAAGGTACATTAATAGATTGATGTAATTGTTGAAATACTGACTTAGGTTTAATTAGGTTTACTGTACCTGATGTGTGCTCGAACCTTAAACCCTCTGAAACAACTCTGGATTTTCACAGCAGCACAGTGTTCACGAAATCGGTTTTCTTCTGCAATGCTGAAAAATAATATTGGTTGTGGACACATTATACCAAGTTGGAAGAACCAAACTGCCTTGCTTATATAATAAAAAAAATTGGTATTTTTAGAAAATCGCCCATAACAACAAAGGACACATTATTTTAAATCCAGAAATTGCTGGAAAAATGCAGCAGGTGTTATTATGGAGTCATGGAGTCATAAAGCTGTATAGCATGGCAACAGACCCGTTGGTCCAACTCGTCCATGCCGACCAGATATCCTGAATTAATCTAGTCCCATTTGCTAGCATTTGGCCCATATCCCTCTAAAGTCTTCCTATTCATATACCCATCCAGATGCTTTTTAAATGTTGTAATTGTACCAGCCTCCAGCATATTTTCTAGCAGACAGTTCCATGCATGCACCACCCTCTGTGTGAAAAAGTTGCCACTTAGATCCCTTTTAAATCTTTCCCCTCTCACCTTAAACCTATGCCCTCTAGTTTTGGACTCGCCCAGCCCAGGGAAAAGGCCTTGCCTATTTACCCTATTCATGCCCTTCATTATTTTATAAACCTCTATAAGGCCACTCCTTAGCCTCCGACACGCCAGGAAAAATAGCCCCAACCTATTCAGCCTCTCCTTTATAGCTCTAATCCTCCAGCCCTGTCAACATCTTTGTAAATCTTTTCTGAACGCTTTCAAGTTTCACAACATCCTTCTTATAGCAGGGAGACCAGAACTACACGCAGTATTCCAAAAGTGGCCTAACCAATGTCCTAACATGACCTCTCAACTCCCTCTACTCAATGCACTGACCAATAAAGGCAAGCATACCAAATGCCTTCTTCACAACCCTGTCTACCTGTGACTCCAATTTCAAGGAACTAGGAACCTGCACTCCAAGGTCTCTTTGTTCAGCAACACTGCCAGGACCTTATCATTAAATGTATAAGTCCTGCCCTGATTTGCCTTTCCAAACTGCAGCACCTCATGTTTATTTAAATTAAACTTCATCTGCCACTCCTCGGCTTGTTGGCCCATCCGATCAAGGTCCTGTTGTACTCTGAAGTAACCTTCTTCATTGTCCGCTACACCACCAATTTTAGTGTCATCTGCAAACTTATCATCATACCTCCTATGAGATAACAAGGTGTAGAGCTGGATGAACACAGCAGGACAAGCAGCATCAGAGGAGCAGGAAAACTGAAGTTTTGAGCCTAGACCCTTCTTCAGTTCATCCAGTTCTACACCTTGTTATCTCAGATTCTCCAGCATCTGCAGTTCCTACTATCTCTGAAGCAATCATACCTCCTATGTTCACATCCAAATCATTTATATAAATGACTGTTCTTGAACATGTTCTGAAGAAGGATTACCAAGCCCGGAACGTTACTTTGCTTTCTCTCCACGAACGCTGTCAGACCTTCTGAATTTCTCTAGCAATTTCTGACTTTGTTTCTGATTTCCAGAATCCACAGTTCTTTGATATTTTTGTTTTTAAACAAAACCACAACAGGGAGGGCTACAGATTTGGTAAATGAAATCAGCCGCACGTTTAATTGTGCAAAAGAACAGAATTTTAATGCTTCTCCTGCTACCTGTGACAAAAATCAGCAAAGTTTCCTCATCCATTTGGGTAAAGGCTTACAGGGAGAGCTCCTTCTCTCACAGTTAGTCCTCACTTGGTTGTTGTATGTTAGTTTGTTCTGCAGTAATATTAGGTGCAGTGATTTTCTAAAAAGAAATGACAAACAACAAGTTGGGAGCGACATAGGGAGGTGATCATCCAATGAGAAATGTGATTGAAGTGGGCAGAAGCATGATGCAGGTGAACGGGTAGGGTAGGGATTGTTGTTGTCGGGTCTTATGTAATGTAAAGATAGCAAGATGCCTCCTGCACATTGGCTTTCAGCTTGCTCTACCATTCAAGACGATCACGGCTAATCTTCTATCTCAAATCCAATTTTCCTGATGCTTTTGGTATCCAAAATCTATTAATTTTTGTGCGGAATATACATAAAGAATTCTGAGGAAGGGTCACTAGACCTGAAATGTAAACTCTGATTTCTGTCCACAAATATTACCAGACCTGCTAAGATCTTCCAGACATTTCTGTTTTGTTTCAAATTTCCAGCATCTGCAGTTTTTTTGTTTTTGAAGCATACTCAGGTGTCTGGGATAAGGAATTCTAAAAAGTCTTTGAATGAAGAAATTTCTCCTCATCTCAGTAATAAATGGTAGATTTCTTATTTGGAATCATGACTCACTAAATTCAGGAAATCCCGGTCAGGGGAAACATTTGTTCCTTCAAACCCTTTAAGAATCATATATGTTTCAATTAGATCGACTTCCACTCATCTAAATTCTAGAGAATCTATACCCAGTCTACTTAATCTTCCCTAATAAAACAATCCCCCCATTCACTGAGGTAAGCACATCCTTTCCTAGATGAATGAACCAGAACTGTACATAATATTCCAGGTATTCACAATTTACAAACTCATTTCTACAATAGCTGCAAGCTGCTCATTTGATTGAAACATCAGCAGCTGCTGGAAACATATTTAAAGCATGAATCTAGGTGTGGTTTCACCAAGGCTTTTGTAATTACATTAAGAAT